TTTCAGACACCCCGTATAAGCTAATTTAAAAAATTTAATGCAGTGTTAAATCACAAGTATACACTCATCATACTTTGTACATTTTATATAGGATTGATTCAGCAAAATTTTGGGGTGACGTCATCAATTTTTTAGGGGGTTGAGCAAATAACTTTGAACAAAAATTTACCATACTTATGATAACTCTAAAACATCTCCAAGATTTAAAAGCATTCGGTTTTGCAGTTCCTGCTTAAATAAAAAAAAATTATTCACGCATTCATTAATTTTTTTGAGTCACCCTGTATATGCAAATCCAAAAAATATGAATGGAATGATAAATCACAAGTACAGACTCATCATATTTTATACTTTATAGATAGGATTTATTCGGCAAACTTTTGAGTTGACGTCATCAATTTTTTGGAGAGGATAAGTAAATATATTTTGATTAAAAATATACCATTCTTATCATAACTATAAACCATCTGCAAGATTTCAAAGGATTCGGTTTTGCAGATTCCAAATTAAATTGCAAAAGGTTTCCAAATTTTGATTTTTTTTTAGGACAATGTTATTTATACATATTAAAACCCATTTGCTATGTACAATTTTGAAGTGATGTCATCAAATTAGTGGTGGGGATGATTAGACAAATTTTGGTTAGCGTTTTACCATCTACATGAAATTCCTAATATTAATACAAAATTTGACAACAATCGGCCCATATGTTTAATAAAAATCCGAGACGGCAGACAGACGGACAGACCGACGGAAACGGGCGACCTATTTCTTCGTCCTCTAGGGGTCATGAAAAGTCGAGAAAATGTAAAAGTAGAGGGTCGGCCGACGGACTCGATTACAATACTTCCTTTGCTTACGCTCGAGAAGTAAAAATTAGTCGCTCCGTGTTTCCAGTTTTTCCTGTGTAATTTTTCTCTGTGTCTGCATTATTTCAACTCTCATTTTTAGTGCTTTTTTTTCTAATTAATAAATTCGAGTTATTTTCGAAAACTTCATCTTTGTTAAATTTAAATGTCAAAATGTTTTTAACCGATTTTTGTAATTAATTGAATTAATATATTTTTCTGTTCCTTGCAAAATTTGATTTCAGTTTTAATATTTTGCGCGTTACGATCATGTACCATCGGTGGAAATAAAAAACTGGAACACTGAAAATTTTGGCATTGTTTTTCAAAAAGTTTTTTAAAATGAGTATGTTAGGTAAGTTTTTTTTGTTGTTAATGTCTAAGTAATTTAACTATTTATCTTCTCACTGGAATGGATTTGACTAGATTCAACTTCTCTCAACATTGACTGGACTCTACTGACTTGCTTCCGACAGTGGTCTCTATTTAAATTATCTTGTGTTCCTCTGAATAGTTCGCGAACGCCGCTTCGAAGTTTTTCTGGAGCTCACCATCGAGACTTCCTGCAATCCGCTCCAGGCGTTTTTTTAGTAGAATGCCGCTCGGTTGTCGTCACCGATGATGAGTCAGTCACTCATCATCGTCATACATACTAGAAAGCCCTCGAGAAAACCCTTAGGCGTCGTATGAGTTTATTTCGTAACACTATGCATTCAGTTATGTTTTCCAAAAGTGGTGATTATGGTTAATCAATTATTACGCTAAATAAGGGCCAAGCTTACGTGGTTTAAATAAAAGTTATCATTTTTCTGTAGTGGATGAAACTGTATTTTAAAAAATAAAAAACAATATGTGTGAAATAGAACGATTTTTCATGTCCAAAATAAACTGAATAATAAAATAAATTATGTTTTTGAAAAAATAAATGGTGTAGATTCGTTTATAAGTACTGCTTAATTATGCCGTGCTCATATGACAAGTTCCGCATTCATTTATTGGGTTTACATAAAATATAAAAATAGCATGCGAGATTCTACTTTTCAATTTTAATTTTCAACTTCCCAGCTTTTTGTTTCATGGTGCATTAACATATTGTTTTTTTTATAAACGTTTATAGTAATCTTTTATTTTCAATTTGTTTTTTCCTCAGTCACATTTCTGCCCTTTTTTTACCTGTCCTTGCCCGAAAATCCGCCTTTCAATAACACCATTTGCCCAACATTTCAATTTAAATCAATCACGCACTGACACTCCGGCAAATTATCTCTTCAAATCGAATCTCTAGGTAGTCATTACTCAATTTACCAGGCATAATTAGAACTGGAACGAAAAATTCAATCGCATAATTACCAATACCACGTGCATACGGCAACGTTTCCAGAGCCCCCCAGCCACCATTTGCATTTCTAATTCCGCCATTTTTTCGATTCGCGGTCAAGCTATAAATAACCCTATCTCGTGGTCGATCGAAAAAGTCGCCCCTAATTTGCATTCTTACGTAACAATTAACCGCTGCTGCCTCGTTTTTCCGTCCAACAACATTATGTTAATCAGCCTTCTTCCCGTAATGTTTATTTTGGACGCTGACTACGAGCAAATATTGAGACATGCTAATGACATTTCACGCATCATTCGTAATGACGGACTGCGTTACGTTACTGTTACGTACGTCCATCCGGAACCAGCGAGTGTAATAATTTAATAACCCGGAGGCTGTACGCTTTAAGTAATAACAAAAGAATTTTAATTTATTCCGGGTCGTAACTGTAGACGATCATGGCGGTAATGTGAAAGAGGCTTATGTTTGATATCTCGAGTGCATGTGGAGTACAGAGGACGCTTTGATTTTTATGAGTCACGTGGGCGAGGGCGCCAGAGAGCTTTATGAATTTTTGTATTATTTCTGTTTCGATGGATCGAATTTCTCTGTCGGGTTATGTTTAGGAGTCGATTCATCTTTATCTTAATTTATGCATCCAATGTGTTTGCTCATTCTTTAGTGTCATTTTTATTCTTGTATCGCAAAGTACATTTATCGTGACTGTTTAGCATTCAGGAATTAAATTTTTACCAGGTAGAGGTATTCATGTTGTCAAGTCAACCAAGACGAATGGAAGATCATTATTTAATTACGTTAGTAGTAAATTAAATATTGACGGATGATGAATTATTAGCAACTATACGTGTGATGGATTTATTCCTTTGTTATTAACAATTTGCTGTAATTGGTTAACTGTTGCGGCACGCTTTGTTGTGGCTACTAATTTTCTAAAGTTCGTTGTTTTTGTGCTTGCTTTATTAATTTTGTTGTGTTTGTGGAGTAATGATCAGTTTTTTTTTTGAAAAATTTGGTAGATAATTAAATTTAATTAAAATGTACCCACGATATTTGAATCTGATTATCTGTTGTGTAATATCTGGTAGCTACACAACGCTCTTATGGGAGTAGTTTGTGTTTGAGTATTGTGTGTTGAAATTTAGCATTGTGTCAGCTGTCCATAAATTGGAACAGATATCTGATCTGATAAATATGATGTTCCCATATTGAATTTGTTGCGCCGCAGACCGTTCGATTGTGTTAAAGTGGATTTAAGTATTGAGAGAATACGTCACGTGACTCTTTTTTGTAGCCTTGTTCATTTCGTAACTTGTTATTTGTCTATATTTAGTGCATTTTTGATTATTGTCACTCCAAATTGGATGCTTTATGCGAGCTTTTTTGCAAATTTTTGGTATTTTTCGAAAAATAATTTTACATTTTTTACAATTCAATTGTTGGTGCCGTTTTAAATATACAAGGTGAGTCAAAAGCGCGTGTTTCTCGGTACCTCATTGAAGCTAGAAAAAGTCTACAACCAAAGTTGTAGGGTTTTTGGAGGTATATAAATTAAAACTATTTTCTACTATCCAGACCGTTGTTTTTGAAGTGCAACATGCAACATATAACTTAGTTTTTTAAATGGAACAGCCTGTTTGTTTATTTTTACATGCCTTAAGGTTAAGGCCTAACGAGCATATTATTTTATTTTTGCAAGTTGCCAAGTTACTCCAGTTTTTTATTGAAAATTTCGAACAGTGCAATAATTCACAAAAAATTGCAGCAAGGTGTCTTGCAATATTTTACAGAAGGAAAAAGAAAGATATGTCCATTGTTGTAGCATCGTTAAAATTGAGGTCTAATGTTCCGAATGTTTATTAAAAAATATAGTTTTATTTAGGTTTATAGAGCGCGCTCTTATTGACTCACCGTGTATATTGTGTGCAATATGCAATTAGAGAAATATAGAGCAAATATCGAATAATGCGATGGCGATGGTTAGATTGAGCCAACGAGCACTATTATTAAATTCCATTTATTTAACCACTTCTCTAATTTGTTTAAATTGCCTAACCTAATTTGGCAGTGCGTGCAGTTAAAATGCGGGTTAAATCAGAATTCGTGCGCTATATTGTTTGATAAAATCTGCTATTATAGAATTATAATAAACGTCTGAACATGTCTGCGGTTCACTTTTTAAAAACTTTTGCCTGACTAAGTAGTTGACAAACTGTTACATTATAACAATTTATTTTTTAAATTGAAGGTATTTACTTTTGACTTTCTAAATTTTTTTTATTTTACCATACTTTGCAGTTGCTAATTTAAACTATATGGAACCTTCAGAGTGAGTAATTTATAAATATTTCAGGTACGTATTTGGGTAAAAAATATCTCAGAATTCGAAAGTATTTGCTTCGTTGTATTCCAATAACAGCGTTTAACTTTTACCTTTCATATTCACTTATTAGTTCAAAGTAATGACTTAAACCAAGTTTACAGCATTGCAGCATGGTTAACCATGACTCGTAAAAGGATTTATTTATGGGTTTGTACTTCGCCGTGTGCATTTTTGACATTTTACGATCACAGAATCTATTAAATCTAGAAATATTTATTACAAATCGGAGCAAATATAAACCAAGCAAACCGTATATTACAAACACCAAACTTGGAAACCACTATAATATTATAATGGAAAGTTATTACTTATTAGTCAACTTCCAGTTAAGCTTCTTAGCCGCTAATCCGCAACTTGTGTGCCAATTAATAATTAATCTAACATTCAATCACCTCCAAACCGCCAAACCCTAAATTGTCTTTTTCTTTTCCAGACGAACGCGACGCAGTTCAGAAGAAAACATTCACGAAATGGGTCAACAAACACCTAAAAAAGGTAAGACCTGCGTTATTGTTACTTCATAATTCATTATGACACACCATATTCCATATAAGTCGATGAAAAATATTATCGCCATAACCGCTGTCCCTTGTCGCCTCGCGCTTTTTTTCAAAGGAAACGGATATTTAACATTACGAATGGCGTGTTTGATCCTTTCGTCATACGGATGTTTGCGTCCTGACACCTCTTGTGGCTTCGCGCCTGGAAAACGAACTTCTGCGGAAAACGCGCTGTTACGACAGATCTATTTATGTGGAAGTCGTTGACATCGACTTGGAAATTCGTTGAAGTTCACGGCACAGAAATAATTTCGCGGCGGGGTAAAAATAGAACGGACATCGTGCACTGGCTGACCAGACTTCCGGACCGGCTGGGTGCAGAAGTCCAGAAGCAAGTTCCGGAGACAGAGTCTCGAAGATCCGGATCTGCAAGACATGGAAGATCGTGGGAGGAGGATTTGACAAGGAGAAGCGTTTAACATTTGGACGAGAGAAACGCCGGCTGGTTTTGCAGTTCTGGTTTGTTACTGTGAGCATTGTCTGCAGAGGAAGACGATAAGATCACTTGTACCTTTGGGGCAAAATTATAGGTGCTTGAAATTGGAATGTGGGATTTTAAAAGTGAATAACCTGGCGTCTAAGATTAGGAACAGTTGAACGATTGCAAATTAGAGAGTGGACCTTCGGTGTTTTGGCGTTTCCGGTCGGTGTTGGCTTATGCTGTGCAAGGCCGCCGGTGACGCAATATGCACACATGCACGATTTTTAGTTACTAGTAATTATTGTCGTCTCGATATTTTTATTACTCGTAAAAATTATGAAGTCGTTAGTAAAAGTAGGTATCTTGAAAATGGTTTAATACGGAACTGCAACTTTTTGAAAATAACACCTGTGTTCTTACTAGTGTTCATTTCTGGTTCTTCGCATCGACCCCATCGACTCACTCCAATATTTCAAACATTCTCTTCTAGGTCGCTCCAAGCCGTTACTTATCTCGATTTATGAAGCCGCGTCTAATTGGCGTCCTCCAGTCGCTAATTAGCGCCGATTTTTCGCTCATTTGAATGATTGTTCCGAAGAAAATCGCCCTGACTCACTGCCGGTAACAAGATGTTAATTACCGGCGACGTGATATTCCTGGGCACGTTTGTGATTTTTCGTGACGTCGATTCTCGTCACATATTCTTGCTGTTGTTCCTCGAATGCTGATAATAATGACGCCGTAAAAGGTAATATTTTGTGGAGTGAATCAACACGTTATGATTCATGGTCCGACGACGAGCTTTCTATCGCCTACAGATTTCGATCGAAATTTATTAATCATCTGTATGGTAATTTTTGGTTTTGTTTGTTGGGACACCCTCGGATTGTGTTGCATTGTTTCGTCACGGAGAGGAGTGCTGCGATGGTTATTCATGCGATTCTGGGCGAAGAGGGTTACGTAATGGGTGAGAGTTCGCGGGGGATTGGGTCGTTGGTAAAGTAGCCGCCTTGTTTGGGAATGATTGATTTGGAAAAGATTTTGCGATTGTTGATGCTGGATTTTAGGCAGGAAAGGTGAATTTTGGAAAATGTAATTGGTGTGTTTTCGTGAATTTGTGGGAGAAATGCGGAAGAAAAATTTTGCAGGTTTTGAACTTGTCAGGTCAGATCAGGTTAAAACGAGTTTGAAAGAATCGCAGAGATATGTGATGATTTTTGAAAGAATTTTAAAAATAATCGTCTGGGCCTCTGGTGTTTTGCTTTTAAAAAAACTTTAAAGATTTTCCAGAACCTCTGGTGTTTTGTTTTTTTAAAGTACTTATGTCGAAATTCCCCATTGTATTTTTAACAAAGTTTTAAAGAAATTCAGAAGCACCCGATGTTATATTTTTGATAGGATTTTAGACATTCTTGGGGTCTCCTGTTGGTTTTTTTTTAGAACGAATTTTAAAGAACCTTGGGTATGTTTGGTGTTTTATTATTGAATGAACTTTAAACAATTTCAAAATTTTCAAGCGTTTTATTTTTGAAAGAATTGTACAGAATCTTGTGGGCCTCTGGTGTTTTACTTCTTAAAGAACTTCAAAGAATCTTCGAGATCCCTGGTTTTTTGTTTTTGAGAAAATTTTACAGAGTCTTGGGTCTATTGTTGGTTTGCTGTAGAAACTAATTTTTAAAAACCTGGGGGATCTTTGAGCTTTTATTTTTGAAAGAATTTGAAAGAGTCTAGGGTCCAGTTTATTAGAGAATCTTGAGGGCTCCTGTTGATTCATTTTAGAACGAATTTTAAAAGATCCTGGAGATCTTCGCTGTTTGATTTTTCAATAAAGGAAACTTAGAATTCCTCAGCCTTTTAATTTTTTAAATAATTCTAAAGAATCTTGGGAACCTCTGGTATTGGTTTTTGAAAGAATTTGAAATAATCTAGGGGCACCCAATATTTAGTGTCTTAAAGAATTTTAGACATTCTTGGGGCCTCTATTGGGTTGTTTTAGAACGAATTTGAAAGAATCTCGAGGATCTGTGGTGTTGTGATTTTGAAAGAATTTTAGAGCATCTCGAGGGCACCTGTTGGTTTATTTTAGAATTATTTTTAAAAAAATTCTGGGGTATCCGTTGTTTTATTTTTGAAAGAATTTTAAAGAATCTTGGGGATCTCTGGTGTCTGGTTTTTAAAGAATTTGAAACAGTTTTAGGGGCTCCCGATGTTTTGTTTTTGAAAGAATTTTAAATAATCTCTAGGACCTCTGACAGTATATTTTTGTGAGAGTTTTAAAGAATCGCAGGATTCTCCAGCATTTTATTTTTGAACGAATTTGAAAGAATTTTGGGGGTACCCGATGTTTTGTTTTTCAAAGAATTTTAAAGAATCTTGAGAAGTCTTGTTGGTTTATTTTACAACGGATTTCAAAGAATTCTGGGAATCTGGATGAACTTTAAGGAATCTCAGAATTTCCCAGCCTTTTATTTTTGAAAGAATTTTAGAGAATTTTGAGATCTCCTGGCTGGTTAGTTTTTGCTACAGTTTTAAAGAATACCAAGCTTCTCCAGCGTTTTATTTCTGAATGAATTTGAAAGAATTTCAGAATTCCACAGAATCGTATTTTTAAAAGAATTCAAAAAAAAATTTGAGGGGCATCGGATGATCTGTTTTTGAAAGAATTTTAGAGAATATTGACATCTCGTCTTGGTTTCTGGATTCTGGATTCTGGATTCTTAATTTATGGGGGCTGACCGTAGCCAGCCGGCACTTAGGCCTCGCCTTTGGGCCCATTGTACCTTCCCCAAGTCCATATCAGGGTGTTTTCCCGCTCCTCTACTCGTCAAGCCACCCAACTGCTTGAATGTACTTGAGTAATGCAGAGGGTGGAAACTCCCTGATATTTGCCATACTAGGCCAGATGTCCCCTAGTATGGATTCCCTGTAGGAGGCTAGGGCTGGACACTCACGAAGAATGTGCTCAGCTGTTTCCTCTTCTTCATTGCATCCACGACAGATTGGGTCTGTTACCACCCCTATCGTATATAGATGTTTGTTAAACTGGTAATGTCCCGTAAGGAATCCTACCAGTTTACGCAGTTTGTCCCTTGAAAGTGAGAGATAAAATTTCGTCAACTTACGGTCTGGTGTCGCCATACAAGCTCTACTATGCCGACAGCTGCTCAACTTCACCCATATCTGCTCATGGCGTCTCTGGGTATATTGCTTTACGAGTTCGTTCGAGAGGGCGACCGAAGGCGTGATTGCCGGTTCGGGTCCCCAGAAGGGCATGCGCGCGGCTCGCTTCGCCATCTCATCTGCCCTCTCGTTTCCTTCGTTGCCACTGTGTCCTTTGATCCAACAAAGTTCCACACTATTCCTCTGCGTTACATACTTTAGCGTTTGTCTGCACTCCCAAACCAGCCCGGATCGAACCATACAGCTGTCCAGGGCTAGTAGTGCAGACTTGCTGTCAGTAAGTATGCGTATTGATTTGTTGCCGATTTCACGTTCAGCAATGATTCTAGCTCCCAGTATTATTCCCATCAGTTCTGTTTGTAAGACAGACGTGTGGGTGCCAAGAGGTACACTGATTTGTGCGTTCAGTTGTTCGGAGTAGATGCCGGCTCCTGAACCACTATCTGTTTTGGCACCATCGACATAGATATCTATGTCGGCTCGTCCTTCTGAATTATCATTCATTGATATTCTATATGTCTTCTCATATATTAATTTTGTGCCCATTCGGTCACAACCCATCCTTAACAAGGGTATTCTGTTGAACGCCTCCGTTAAGATCCGAGTGTGCTTCGTTGTGCGGCCTTGTTTGTTCCATACTCCCAGAGAGTGAAGTCTTAGAGACGTCGTCATTGCCGCTTCCTCTATGTAAAGGTTAAGAGGTGCTAAGCAAAGAAGAGTCTCCAGAGCCGCTGTGGGAGTGGTCCTCATTGCTCCTGTAACACTGAGACACGCCATTCTCTGAACGTGTTCAAGTTGCAGGGCTGTTGTTTTTTGTCTGGCTCTGGGCCACCAAACTAAAGCTCCATAGCACAGCATCGGTCTGACTATTGCCGTGTAGATCCAGAGGGCGATCTTGGGATTTAAACCCCACGACCTTCCCACCACCCTACGACATTGCCAAAGAGCCGAGCGTGCCTTTTCTACTTTATCATCTACATGCTTCTTCCAATTCAGTCGCCAGTCCAATACAACTCCCAGGTATTTGACTTCGTCCGAAAGTTGAAGCGTTGTGTTAAATATTTTTGGCATCTGTAGTGTGCCAATTTTCCTTTTCCTGGTGAACAGGATTAGTTCCGTCTTTTCTCCATTAACGGAGAGGGTATGTCTGCTGCACCATTCCTCGACTATTTTTACTGCAGCTTGCATTATCTCACATAATGTATCTGCGTTTTTTCCTGTTAGCAGAATGACTAGATCGTCCGCGTATCCAATTGTGTGGTATCCAAGATCATTGAGGCGTCGTATCAGGCTGTCAACGACAGTATCCCACAGTACAGGAGAGAGAACTCCTC